ATTTCCCCAGTTTGTTCTGAGTCACTGATAGTTCTATAAAAATACCTTGTTTTGGGTGTGAGTCCAGAGGAAGCTGAGGACTTGAACTTTAAAATTCTGAAAAATCAGGAAGCACAAAGGAAAAAAAATTTAAAAAGGGTTCAACTCAAATTGAAGAATCTGAAATAACAAATGATAGAAACTAAGCTACTATTTAAGTCATTGCATCATTAACTGACTGAACCTGTTACTCAGAAAGGAAAACCACTCAAATTCACCATCTACATACATGCATAACTAAAAATGCCAAGATGACACCATCTAGAAAGCTGACCATTGTCTCTGACATTTTAAGCCCCACTACAAATGTCATTTATCTATGACACTAGTCTTAGTCCCATCCCACCCTTGCCCAGGCCACCTTCCTCTAACTGGATGCACGGCAGGTACATGGTAACATGAGGTATGATTAATTCCCTATTAAGTCACATGTGTCATATGGCCATCACTGTGTCCTTTTCATTTCAAAGACTATGAACATAAATCCTAGACTGGTTCCTTTTAATGACAATTATTCAATGAATAATTAGTCAAACTCAGAACTGTTTGTCTGCTCATGTTCAGCGTCTTCCTTGTGTAGAGCAGGGTTAAGGTTAGTACTTTCCCCTATGACTCACACTCCATTCTTCTTCCCTCCTTAACTTTACAAAACCCATGACCCTGACGTCAATGGGAAGTGGCATTACACATCTTCAACGTCAATCTGATGGCTCCAATTAAGTCAGCATTCTGAATGGTCCCCCTGACAAAGTTTGGTGCTTCCTCCACCACACTCATTTGCTGGTCCTTGAACTTTGGAGGACAAGGATGTGGACAATGAAGCACAACAGGAAAGTGGAGGCCATCCAGTGAGAAAACACTTGAGTTAGACACCAACTTTCATGTAGTTACTTGCCTGGCATACATCAGACATTCAATAAACGCTGAATTCTTCAGTGGACGTGACTCTTAAAACCTCGGTGCTTCAATTTTAGTAAGACTTTGAAAATAGTATCTACCGTTATTTATCAGTACCATTATGGCCTAATATGGTTTGAATTAATGTATTCTGAGTCAAGGAATAAATATACTATAACTAATGGAAGGCAATTTTAAAAAGCATAATCCAATTTAATCATGTACTCTATGATTCACTGTTTATAGTTTAGTGGAGAAAATTATATATCCCTGTAGTATAAAATAAAAGAGAAGTTCATAGAAGCAAAGAAGTCTGAGAGTAGCAGCTGTCTGCTGGAGGAAAATTCTCCAAGGACAGAATGAGATAATGCCATTCTACAATTCATAAAGCATATTTTTAAAATTAAAGATGAAAAGAAAGGAAGTCTAGTCAGAGGGAACAGCATGAATAAAAGAAACAGAAAGGTTTGAAGACACATTGGGAGACCTCCTTTATTTGCCTGGATGGCTGGGTATGGTACTATAGAGAACTGTCATGTTGTAAAAGGCAAATTTGGCTGTCTGCAGTTCATGCCAGACAAACTGAAAGCTCTCAAGTGACTAGGGACAGAAGCAATGTGGGAACTGCTTTGGGCCTTCAAAGGGAAGAACTTGGGCTGGCCCTGGCACTGAGCTGCCATGAGGTGGTGAGGGCATGGGAGGGATGCCCTCCTCCCAACTCATCCCTGTAGCAGGTAGGAGAGCTGGCCCCACCCCTTGCATGCGGTGGCAGCATTGGGTGATCTGGCTAATCTAGCTGGGGCAGTGCTAGGGAGCTCTCCCTACTTACTGTGCAGGTGCCCTAAGAATGCAGGTGCAAGAGAGCTGGTGAGCTTACCAGCTCAGCTACTACGCAGGCCAAGATCTAAGGCACTGAGCTGTACCACCCCAACATCTACCCTATCTATGATCTGCTGGAGCATGTGAAAGGCAGACTCATGACAGGACTCCATGATACAGGCAACAACAGGATATCCAAAAGAAGTCCCAGTGAGGATCCAGAATGGATGGTGTAGCAGAAGCCAGAGGCCTTGGATCAGATCAATGTTCGCTGTAATGAACACGTGCAAGCAAAGAAATGTGAACAAAATGGTACACTATGTGACACACTGTGACACTACAGCTGCCATGACAAAGATGGGGTTTGGTTTGGTTTAGGTTTTTTTTTTTTGTTTTATTTTATTCTTTTTTATTTTCTATTTTCATTTGGGGGGGCAGGTTGCAAGGGCAGAGAGCAGGTCTGAAGGGATGGGGAGACAGGATGGACTGGGTTACATGATATGAAATTCACAGAGTCAATACAAAGTTGAAGAGAAAAAATTGAACAAAAAGAAAAGTTTTAGGAAAACTGAGTTTGACTTTGGCTTTGATCTAAGCAGTTAAATGAAAGCAACGCACACACATGCATAGGAAGAGCAAGAGGGCAGGACAGACAGATTAGAGAGAGAAGAGTGAGAAGAGAGGAGGATTGGAGAGAAGAAAAGAGAGGGAATGTGAGAAAAGCAGATGGGTGAAGGAAGTAGAGAGGAAGAGGAGGGAGAGGGAGGGAAAGGGAACAAGGGAGGCTGGGGGAAGGGCAGAGGTAGAAGCTCTCCACTGTCCTCACTGCTGCTAACCAACGTGTACTGATCCTGTTCAGACCGCTCTGACTTAGAAGAAAGATCTGGGTTAAATGGGCTCAACGCAGTCTGCCTGGATAGCAGGAAAAACGCTGATGATGTAAAGACAAACCAAGTAGATGTAAGATCTGAAAGATAATCTAAGTCAAAGGCATTTCTCAGCCACGCATAAACACACATCAAAACCAACACATAAAAACCACTTCACAAAGTAGTCCATAACAAAATGTAAATAACCTTTAAGTACAAGCAATACAAAACTGTAAGATTTTCCAAACCCGAGGACAGGAAATGAATGAGCCCAACATGCCATTGCTGTAGATCTTAGACTTAGCTCTTGATCAATCACCCTGTAGGTTCTGGGCAAAATATGACTGAGTACCCAGGTATTATAGCCAGAAACAAAGACAACTGTTGTACTACACGCCCTAAGGGTCACAACTCAAAGTTTCGCCTTAAAATATTAAGGAATAGGTATTTTCTTTTATACTTATAAAAGGAAAGCCCACACATAAAATAAACTTGCATCATCCTGCATTGGTTCCACAGTTCATCCAGCAACTATGTACCCAGAATGTTGTACAATGCAGAAAGCAAAATGCTTTGTGCAGGCAGAGTCCTAGATGTTCAACCTCAGCAGTGATGGATTCATTGAGCAGCATTTCAAATGGTGGGAAATGGGGCTAGAGAAACAGGTCAGCAGTTAAAAACATTTCCTACTATTCTAGAGGACATGAATTAGTCCCAGAACCCATGCTAGATGGCTGACATCCATCTGTAACTTCAGCACCCGGGAATCTAACACACACCTGGGAATTTAACACACACCTCTGAAGATACAAGCACATGTGGCACGTGTGGTGAGTGCACTATATATATAAAAAATAAATTATTAAAGTGACTAGAAGTATTTTCTGATACTTCTGTCTAATCATCTGATCTGAAACACACAAAAGACTGTTACAGAATCTGTAACAAAATACGGAAGTTTATTAAAGGCACCAAATTGGACATTCACCAATAAAAATACTCTATAGTTCTTTGAGAGGAAAGGAGAAATGGTGAGAAAAAGAGGCTGAGGATTACAAAAGTAAAGACATGAATGTAATTTTTGTTGTTTGACTATTTCACACAAAGAAGAGCTAGGAAGCAAGTGTTAAGTAGCGCCATAGGAACCTCATAGGAAAGATTCCCAGGAGTGTTTCAGGCTGTTATAATGACAAACATGATCTTATAAAATTGCAAAAATATATCCTGCTTTTATAAGTTTTAATGCTTATGCTTTTTGACTTAAGACATTTAAAATAATGGCTTTAAACAGCTAATATTATACACTATTATTTTAGAAATAGTCCTTTTTAACATAAAATGCACTTTTAAAATCTTGACAATTCTCATAATAAAAACAATCTCCTTTTATGTAAGCTAGATGTAAAGATGAAGGTTTGATTCGAAAAGTAGTTATCACATCATACATCTTTCCTGAACAATCAGCTACTTGGGCTCCCACACACATACCTCATATTCAGTTGTATTGACTGTTAAGGAAGGAACCAGAGAGAACAGTTCACTCAGGGTCTTCAATATGAGTGGTCTCATGTCACAGCTCAACTTTGGAGAGAGAGCATTCCAAGTGGAGCGAATACAGACAACCTATGAAACAAATGTAAAAAGTCAACAACCACAAAAACCCAAACTTGGAAGAAGTCATCAGTTAGGAGTAGTACAAGCCAGGCACAGTGGCTCTGGCAGGTAATTCCAGTTTCTCTGGAAGCCTAGGCAGCAGGATTCCAAGTCAAGACTATCTCTGCTGCAAGACAAGCTCCAAGGCCAGCCTGGGCAGTGTAGCAAGACCCTGGCTCAAAACAGAAAGGAGAAAGAAAAAGAGGGG